AGCAATGAGTCTTGTCAGTAGTGGGCCCATACTCTATTGACTGTTGGCGTTTCCCTGCCTCCCAGACTCCCTCCCGTGCTCTGCTCAACGATGCCTTAGCTCCTCTGGGCATTCGCTCTTACAATAGCCTGGCCTATTGCACATCTAGCAGCGGCCCTTGAATAGCGCGGCAGCTGCATTCGTCGCAACGGCATGTACAGTGGTGTGCTCGGTCGGTCATCGAGAACGATGTATGTAGTAGGACCCCAGCCTCGGACGGCACAAAATATTGATTTTCTCCGCTAGCGCTATGATTTCGTTGAAGTTTGAAATTTCTTGCGACATTTTCGGCTTCTGGCCGCCGACGTAGCAATCCACTTGCTCCGCTTTGTGCATGTAGCTGACATGCTGACACAGCGTGAGAAAACCACTGGTGTATTCTTAGACCGACCCGAGTTGCCGCCAAGTGCGCAGCTTCTGGCGTGCCGAAATCGAAGCCTCGATTGGCTCGAAGCGTGCCCAAATCCCTGCACACCACGCATCCCACGTGCTGTATTGGGCAGTCTCGCAGGACGAACTCCAGGTTACGGCTGGGCCCGTGGGCCTTTCCTCTTGCAGTAGTGGCTTGTAGGTGCTTAGCGACGTTAGGATGACTCGCCACCAGTCCATGGTGGGGCCCCGCAGCAATGATATGACGTAAAGAATCTTCGCTGCATCCGACGTGACGTAGTTCGTGTAAAAAAAAAAAAAAAAAAAAAAAAAAAAAAAAAAAAAAAAAAAAAAAAAAAAAAAAAAAAAACGCTTATCGTGAAAATCCACGATTGAATTATTGGACCTTTACGCTGGCTAGGATCAAAGAAAGGCATACGCTGCAGCTTGAGTAACATCGGCTCACCTATGTCATTGTTGCTGGCAGGTGCGACAAATCCGACGTGACGCCGAGCCTTGTGAGGTACGTTTACGCCCGGTGCAGTCCTGATTCTCTCCATGACTTGCATCGATTGGGCGGCGCCATCGCTGATTGCGCCTGAGCGTTGTCCCACGCTGTCGTGCTGCGACGGTGTTCCCGATATAATGACAATCAGCTCATCCGATTGTGCGGGTGCATTTGCAGGTGCTGGTGCTGGTCCGTTTGCCATAGATTGCTGTCATGTGGAGTCGCGTTCCGCAATGAGCGTTGCGATTTTGAGCGTCGACTCCTCAAGCTGGCGAATGAGTACGTCGAGGCGCTTTTGCGTCAATGTCGCAAGCTGGACACGGTCGATTTCAGACATCGTGGGGGTGTCGGGCGAGCCTCATTTGTGGCTGAGTGTGCTTATGAGAGAGCACACGAGCAGCGGTGCTTGGTCGCCGAGGGACGTCTACCCCCTCCAAAAAGTGAGATAATGTGGGAACAGAAGATGCGGGTGCGGTCCGAAAAGGCTCGTGGCTCTGTATACCGAGTGTTACGAGCGCAATTGAGTGATCGAGCAAAGATTGCACTATCGAAGAAAATCATTACATCGAGCGAACGAATGTGCAAATATTATATAGCGAAGCTAGCGTGGTAACGGTAACACGAGAAATTGGGGTGCGCTACGGGCCTAATGCCGAGGTTCGGAAATGGCGAGGCGGAGGTCCGAAGTACGGGTTACCAACCGAGTCGTAAGGTTGGGTCGACATGTGAATAGTGGTAGGAACAGTGGTCGAGGCGAGTGTCGCGAGTGGTAACGGTGCACTGTTTGGTACTATTGGCGGGAATCATCGTGTACGCGGTAAGCAGGGGCGCAAAGTAAAGAAATGGAATTTTCCTTACTCTTTAGTTATAAACATTTCTTCTTGTGGTTTTCAACATGTTGAAAAGATTAGGGAAGAATTAGGGGCTAAGAAGAAGCCTTTTGATGTTACCGTATAGTTTTGGCTAAAAGACCCGCCGGTAAGAAGGTCCCTCGAGACTCTTGAATGGGTAGGGAGTGTCAGAATCACTGACTGGAATGACTGAACTAACAGGGAAGGCAGTACAAATACAAACCCTAGAATAGTGTACCCCATATAGTCTAGCCCACTGTAGCCTAACAACAACCAACATATATAATGTTTGACACACCCCCATAGGCAAAGTGGGGGAGATCTAGGGGTCACAAGACCAGTCAAAGCAAAGCAAGGCAACAACAAGCTCAGGGTGGATCTCGAGGATTCCACACAAATTCCGAGCACAAGCTAGTGGTCACAAGACTAGTTCACATGCAGGTTTATAACAGAGCAAGAGATACAGTGATCACAACCTAGCAAGAGTAAACATGCAGGTATATATATATATAGTGATCACAGTACAAGCAAAGTCACGAGGTAAGCAAGTGAGGTCCAGTAGGCACAAGGCCTAGCAGAGTGCAGAAGCGCTGATGGTCACGAGGCTGAAGCGCCTTGGTGAACACATCAGCAGTGTTGGCCTCAGTGGCCACGTAGCGAATACAAAGCTGACCACGCTGCTGCAACTCTCGAGCAAGGAAGTACCGCAGGGCAATGTGCTTCGTTCTGTGCTCCAGTCTGTGCTCCTCACACAAGGCAATAGCAGCCTTGTTGTCGACGTACAGCACTGGAGGAGAACGAGGCCGCTCTCCGAGGTCGGTCAGCAGGTAGGTCAGCCAGCGTAGCTCCTGAGCAGCCATGGCTGTGGCGTAGATCTCAGCCTCACAACTGGAGCCGAGAACAGAAGAAGAGCGAGTAGAGCGCCAAGAAACTGAGCCAGAGCCAAGGCTGAAGGTGTAACCCTGAGACGACCGCTGAGTGGCCTGGTCGTCTGCCCAAGAAGCGTCTGAGTGCCCTGTGAGAACAACTCGGTCTCGCCCTCCAAGCACAAGCCCCATGCCCGACGTACTGCACAAGTAGCGCAACACCCTCTTAGCGGCATCCATGTGCTCCTTCCTGTGACGGCCAGGAGCGACATAGCGTGCAAGGATGCTAAGAGGGTATGCAAGGTCAGGTCGAGTGCAGGTCATCAGGTACATGAGGCAGCCCACAAGCTCTGGATACGGGCCACTCGGCTCTACGGACTCATCCGAAGGCAGAGTTGAGAGCGAGTGACCGGTAGGCAGAGGAGTGGACTGAGACGAGGAGTACGTGAAGCGGAAGTGCTGGAGAACCTGCTGCACCATGTGTGACTGAGTCAGGGTGATGGTGCGCCGTGCTCTGTCCCGGGTGATCCGCAAGCCAAGATAGCTTGTCAGCTCACCCAGGTCTGTGCACGTGTGTCTCCTCTGCAGCTCCGACTTCACGTAGGCGAGCCCTGCAGTGTCAGCAGTGGCAAAGACCAAGTCGTTGACGTACACGAGGATGTAGAACGGCGGCAGCGAAGTGTCGGTGCGCAGGAACAGCGACGGGTCAGCTGTAGAAGGCGCGAACCCAAGAGCCGCAAGTGTAGTCCTCAGTGTGTCGTGCCACTCACGCGGAGCCTGGCGGAGACCGTAGACCGGCCGTTGAAGCCTCCACTGGGTACCAGGAGGAAACGACCCAGTGAAGCCAGGTGGGCGACGCAGCCAGATCTCCTCGTGCAGGCTGCCCTGCAAGAAAGCAGTGCTGAAGTCAAGTGAGTGAAGCTCGTAATCGCGGTGAGCGGCTATGTGCAGCAGCACCCGAAGAGTAGTCATCTTCGGGGTGGGGGAGAAGGTCTGGAAGAAGTCAACTCCCTCTTGCTGACTGAAGCCTCGAGCCACGTAACGCACCTTGAAGACAGGTGGAGAACCCGGCGGCCGCTTCACCCTGAAAATCCACATGCCACTGACGATGTTCGCCCCAGGAGGGGGAACCTCGTCGACGTAGGTGCGTGTGGACTTCCAGGAAGCCATCTCGGCGTCCATGGCTGTCTGCCACTGAGAGGAGTAGGGACCCGCCATCGCCTCAGCGTAAGTGCGCGGGGTCGGGATGTCTGGTGCATCCGGGTCTCCCTCAGGGGCAACTAGCTGTTGAGTGCAAATGCACATTGCACGACATCCTGCCGTCTGTTTGTACGAGAATGCGTGTGCGAATGCATTTGCGTGTGAATGGTGTGTTCGTGTGTTTGTTTGCTTTCGCATTTTTCGCTTGATGCATTTGCAGGTACTCGCGCAATGTGCGCTTTGGCACAACATTGTATGCGCTATGAACAGTGCAAGCAGGAAGGACGAGCTCGCAAAGGAACCCAAGATGGAAGCTTTGCAGTTCGGTTGAGTTGATTGCGCAGATTCAGTTCTATCCAACTCGGAATTGTACTGTTTTGTTTGGTTAACTATAGTGTAGCAGGGAAGACACTATAGGGGTACAATTTAGGTGAAGGTTGGATGTTGTTTGTCTGTATCTGCATGCTACAAGGCCAGGGGAAACCAGCGGAACCAGCATTTGGCTGGTTGGGCAAAGACAAAACAGGTTCTGTTTTTAGAACCTGAACCTGGTTGTTGTTTTCCCAGGTTGGAAAAACAGAACCAGAGGTTGTTTACCAACCTACCACCTGCTATTTTGTCCAGCCAGGTTGGTTCTGTTGCTTGGAATTATTTGGGATCATCCCTGGTTGTTCCCAGGTTGATTCCCAAGGTCCTTGCTAGCTAGAACTATTTAATCCTTCTCTGTTTGTACCTGAATATAGTCAAATTGATTCAAGCGAATTCCTTCCTCGCTGGAATTTCGTTTCTGCGCTATTCGACGGCGGAATGCTACCCGAGTCAACGCTAGTATGCTAGCACTCCAACGCTAGGCAAACGCTGTCCGAGCCATAACTTAGTGATGGCAGAACTTTTCGCGAGGCAACTTGGCTCATTTTAAAGCTCTTGGAGCGAGCTTCGATATAGCGAATTCTCAGCTTAATCCGACCGACGGTCTGCACGGCACGCTGCGCGACGTTCAAGGTACTCTTGCTGTTTTGACTAAGTCCTTCTTGATCCCTCTCTCTACAAACTCGGACCCGAGGATAGGGGCTGGTCTTGTACCAGGCACCCAGGGACCCTTGGAGGTGACCCCGAGGAGAGGTTTTAAGTTTGATCAAGTCCTAATAGCTTGAGTTTATTAGGCCCTTACACCAACACTAGCAAGGACACGAGACGGGGCAAAGCAGCAGCAAGACACTGGAACTCAAGGACGTCCGTGCCAAGAGCACACTCACCCCCGACGGACGGAGGACAGACAGACTCAGATTCAGGATCAGCAACAAGGCTAGCAGCGTAGTCTAGACAACAGGCAGCAGCAAAGTCAACCAACTCAGCGACCAGAGCAGACGCAGTCGAGGACTCAAAGGTAGGGTCAGTGACAACAGTAGCGAGGAGACGCGTGACAGTAGGGTGCTCAGCACGATACCGGTCAGACTCAGGGTCCGGAACGTCAGGCAAAGAGGACGCAGGAGGAGACGGTAGCGGGACACGCTGAGGAGCAGTGGAGGGACGCAGAGTCATGTAGTGAGTGCCAGGGACAGGAGGAGGACGCTCACGACGGACACGACTACCAGCGCGAGCAGGACGAACAGGCGACGCAGGATGAGACTCAGGCTCACGACGCTCTGTAAGACCTCCTGTGGGACCAGTGTAAGGAGAGGGAGCAGGGAGAGACGAGGTAGGCGGTAACTGTGACTGCGGCTGGACAGGCGGGGGACACTCTACGGAGGGAGGAGGACAAGGAGGAGGAGCCTGCCCAAGAACCTGCTAAAGGAGCGGTACGAAGTACGGCCGCGGCCGCGCAGCGTCTCCAGAAGCAGAAGAGACTCCAGCGGCCGGGTCCTCAGTACCAGCAGTAGCTCCAGCGTCCGGGTCCACAGCACCAGCAGCAGCTCCACCGTCCGGGTCCGCAGCACCAGCAGCAGCTCCACCACTCGGGTCCTCAGCACCAGCAGCAGCGCCACCGCTCGGGTCCTCAGCACCAGTAGCAGCTCCAACGCCCGGGTCCTCAGCACCAGTAGCAGCTCCAACGCCCGGGTCCTCAGCAGCAGCAGCAGCGCCACCGCTCGGGTCCTCAGCTCCAGCAGCAGCTCCAACGTCCGAGTCCAGCCCGACCACCAACACTGCCTCTGCCGCCGCCACCGCCACTACCCCCTTTGCCGCCACCACCGCTGCCACCACTCCCACTGCAGCCACCACTCCCACCGCCGCTGCCGCCACTGCCGCCACCGCCCCCACCCATACCACCACTCCCACCGCCACCACCACCTCCGCCACCTCCACTGCCTCCACCACCTCAACCACCACCTTCCCCACCGCCACCCCCACCACCCTTGCCTCCCTTGCCCTTGCCGCAGCGGTGCTTCCCACTAGGAGCAGAAGCAGCACCGACCTCCTCAGCACCAAGGAAGTCGACAGCAACAGTAGAAGCAACAGAGGGGGCAAGTGGGGAGGGGGAGCACCCTTCAAAGAAGGGCGTGCGAGGAGCGCCGCAAGTAGCACCTGTTGGTGTAAGGGCCTAATAAACTCAAGCTATTAGGACTTAATCAAACTTAAAACCTCTCCTCGGGGTCACCTCCAAGGGTCCCTGGGTGCCTGGTACAAGACCAGCCCCTATCCTCGGGTCCGAGTTTGTAGAGAGAGGGATCAAGAAGGACTTAGTCAAAACAGCAAGAGTACCTTGAATGTCGCGCAGCGTGCCGTGCAGACCGTCGGTCGGATTAAGCTGAGAATTCGCTATATCGAAGCTCGCTCCAAGAGCTTTAAAATGAGCCAAGTTGCCTCGCGAAAAGTTCTGCCATCACTAAGTTATGGCTCAGACGGTGTTTGCCTAGCATTAGAGTGCTAGCGTACTAGCGTTGACTCGGGTAGCATTCCGCCAACGAACCGCGTAGAAACAAAATTCCAGCGAGGAAGGAATTTGCATGAATCAATTTGACTATATTCAGGTACAAACAGAGAAGGATTAAATAGTTCTAGCTAGCAAGGACCTTGGGAATCAACCTGGGAACAACCAGGGATCATCCCAAATAATTCCAAGCAACAGAACCAACCTGGCTGGACAAAATAGCAGGTGGTAGGTTGGTAAACAACCTCTGGTTCTGTTTTTCCAACCTGGGAAAACAACAACCAGGTTCAGGTTCTAAAAACAGAACCTGTTTTGTCTTTGCCCAACCAGCCAAATGCTGGTTCCGCTGGTTTCCCCTGGCCTTGTAGCATGCAGATACAGACAAACAACATCCAACCTTCACCTAAATTGTACCCCTATAGTGCCTTCCCTGCTACACTATAGTTAACCAAACAAAACAGTACAATTCCGAGTTGGATAGAACTGAATCTGCGCAATCAACTCAACCGAACTGCAAAGCTTCCATCTTGGGTTCCTTTGCAAGCTCGTCCTTCCTGCTTGCACTGTTCATAGCGCATACAATGTTGTGCCAAAGCGCACATTGCGCGAGTACCTGCAAATGCATCAAGCGAAAAATGCGAAAGCAAACAAACACACGAACACACCATTCACACGCAAATGCATTCGCACACGCATACTCGTACAAACAGACGGCAGGATGTCGTGCAATGTGCATTTGCACCCAACACACTCCCCCTCAGCCTGCCGGCTGCATCTCCGTCATTCCATGCTAGTTCATGCTCATTCCACTCATGCGCACACAACGCCAATGAGGCTCATCCGCAAGCCTCTTGGTGAGAAAGTCTGCTGGCTGCTGGTGAGTCTTGATGTAGATCGGATGCACCGTCCCCCTCTTCACCTCCTTACGCAGCCAGTGCCACTTGATACGCATGTGCTTGTTCAGCCCATGAAGCACAGCGTTTCTGGCCATCCCAAGAGCCCCCTTGCTATCACAAAACAGCGGCGTAGCAACTTTCTGCTCCTGGCCAATCTCCTCTAACAGCCTCCTCAGCCAAATCACCTCCTTCACCCCATGGAACATCGCCATGTACTCTGATTCTACGGAAGAGAGTGCCGTCTCCGTCTGCTTCTTGGACCTCCAACTAACAGGTCCTCCCCCAACTACGCAGATGTATCCTCCCACAGATGAGGAATCCTCCTTCTCAGAAGCCCACGTAGCATCGGTAAAGCAAGTGAGAAATAGCTTGCCTTCTCCAAGCCTCTCCCCCTTCTCTTTCAGCACCTCCACCCCTTTCTGCTTCACCTGTGCAGATGCGGAGTATTGAACTCCAATGCTTGGGTGAGAGTTCAGGTACTTCACCACACGCTCAGCTGCATCCACCTGCTCCTCTGATGGATTCTGCACCACCCTAGCCAGCTGCCCAACCGAGAAAGAGATGTCGGGCCTCGTGTGAACTGCTGCGTACAAGAGGCTGCCCACCAAGGACTGAAATTGCTGCTGCTCTTCAGCTTCAACCCCTTCATCCTCTGCAGCCTTCACAAGCTTGAATTCTGCTGGCAGGGGAGTTGCAACCTTGCGCTCATTCTCAATCCCATACTTCTCCCCCAGCTCCTTGATGAACTTCTCCTGGTGCAGCTTCAACCACCTGTGATCTGGATCCCTCTCCACGTGCATCCCGAGGTAGTACTTTACCTCCCCAAGGTTCTTGCACTTGAAGTTTTCCATCAGTTGCTGCTGCACTTTCTGGATCTCCTTCATGCTGCTGCTGAAGAGAAGAATGTCGTCCACATAGACCAGAAACAGCACCAGCTTCTCCCCCTCGCCCTTGAGAAAGAGGCTCTCATCACAGCTGCTGGTCCTGAATCCCATCTCCTCTAAAACAGCTGCCAACTTCTGGTACCAGCAGCGTGGCGCCTGCTTCAAGCCGTAGATGGACTTGTTGAGCTTGCACACCCTGCCCGTACCATCCTCATACCCAGGCGGCTGCGTCATGTACACATCCTCCTCTAAAATCCCATTCAGGAATGCCGTTGAAATATCCATCTGAATGATGAATTTTCCACTAACAGCTGCATCTGCCAACAAGACACGGAGGGTAGGGGGTTTGGCAGTGGGAGCAAAGATCTCGTTGAAGTCCTGCTTCTCCTTCTGCATAAACCCCTTCGCCACCAGCCTACTCTTGTAGATGGTGACCTGCCCCTTGTCATCGGTCTTGATCCTCAGCACCCACTTGCATTGTATCGCTTTCTTCCCATCAGGCAGCACCACCAGATCCCATGTCCTATTCTCCAGCAGACTCTGGTACTCAGCATCCCTAGAAGCCAGCCACTTGTCCCTATCTGGTCCAGCTAATGCCTCCTCCATGCTAGCTGGTTCCTCTGGTGCAGGGGCAAGAAAACAGTACGCAGGCTCATCCTCCTCATCCGGGTCATAGCCATGAGGTAGAATCAGCAATGCCTCTTCGGTCCCTAGCTGCTGCTCTGCTGCATCAGTTCTTGCAGTCAGCTTCTTAGTAGCCATACGGGTACGTCCTGGCCTGGAGACGGGTGTCTCCCATCCCTTCATAACGACACCCTTCGGCTTCTTAGTTTTTCCCTGCTGCTTCTCTCCTCCCTCGGGTCCAGCAGCTCCACTAGTGCTGCCGCCAGTTTCCACACCATTTTCTCCACCAGCAGATGCCTCCTGTACCTTCTCTCCATCACCATTTCCAGCAGCTGCCTCCTCTCCCTCCTCCCACACACTAGGAGTCAGGTCCAGCTGCATGGTGATCTGCTCCATCTGCTGGGACACCCTTGCCTCCGGCTGTTTCTCCCAGCTCCCATACATCATGCCCTCAATGAATTTCACATCCCTGCTGTCAAACAACACACCCTTGGATGGTTCCCACAGCAGCCATCCCTTGCTCTCAGCAGCCAGCCCCAAATGCACACACCAGATTGCACTCGCCCCCAACTTACTGCGGTAGGTCTTGGGGACGTGGGCGACTGCCATGCAGCCAAACACCCTCAGCATATCCACCGGCGGCTTCCTCCCAAGCCACCTCTCCAACGGCACCCACGAGTCATCCCCAACCTTGGTGAGCACCCTGTTCCTAGCGACAGTGGCGTGCCGGACAGCATGAGGCCACATAGAATTGCTCAGCCCAGATTCTATGAGCAGCGCCCTAGCTGTCTCCAGAATGGTCCGGTTTGCCCGTTCTGCTACACCATTGGACTGTGGGGTATAAGCCGTGGTCAGCTCTCTCTGGATGCCCTGCTTCTTGAGCCAGGCCGTCATTTCAGCTCCAAGGAACTCACCACCCCGGTCTGTCCTAATCCGCTTCACTACACACTCCGCCTGCTTCTCCACGAATGGCAGCCAATCGTCCCGTATCGTGGAGGCGGCGTGGTCCTTCTGCTTCAGCGGATACGCCCACATCAGCCTGCTCCAGTCATCCACAATTGTAAGAAAATACCGCTCCCCCTTGTGCCCTTGCACCGGCAGCGGCCCCACCAAGTCCATGTGGACCAGCTCCAAAGGCTTCTTGCTCCTGCCAGCCACACTATGGAAAGGGAAACGGGTGAACTTTGAAAGCAAACAGATTTCACAGTTGTCATCGGGTGGCTGTCCGTTCAGCTTCAGACCCTTAACGGCTCCATCCTTCTCCAGCTGCTTCAGCAAAGGCATTGCCACATGCCCTAAGCGCCGGTGTGCCGTTGCCCAATCTGTCTCCCCAGATCTGGCCGACACTTTCACACCAACCCCTCCAACGGCATTGCACTCCCCCTGGGATGCAGACCCCTCTCCAGCCTGCCCCCCACCATGCCACGCCAGGGCCGGCAGCTGCCACATAGATCTGTACACGTCCTTGCTCTCGTGCAGATCCCAAAGCACCCGATTGCCCAGCTGCCCCTTATAAGTGCGTGCCCCATCCATGTTGGTGTTCACCCCAGCCTTGCCAAGCTTACGGAGGGAGATAAGGTTGGCCTTCAGGTCGGGGACGAAGAGAACGTCGTGCAGCACCACCGGCTTGCCATCCGCTCCCTTAAACGCAGCTCGTCCCGCACCAGCCACCTTCAACATGTGTCCAGAGGCGGAGCACACTTCATTGATCGGTGCAGCTCGTACTTCGTCCAGCAGGTCCTTGCGCGGCGTCATCGTCCAAGCAGCGCCTGTGTCCAACACCCAATAGTCTAGGGGGTGCAGCTCTGCTCCAACTTTGGCAGAGGCGTCTCCTTGCTCCCCCTTGTCTCCCACATGGAAGAATTGGCCCGCGGTGCGCTCCTTCTTCTTCTCCGCACCGCCGTTGCCCTTCGGGTTGTTGTCGGACGAATCAGCGACCATGTTGGCGCCGTTTTTCTGGTTCCTCCGCGCGCCGCCATCCTGGTGACGATTCTGGGGGGTCCATCCATCGGGTTTCTTATAGCACAAAAACCAGGGGTGCCCTTCCTTCTCACAATACCAGCAACTCCCTTTCATTTTGCCACCAGCACCCGACTTGCCCCCACGTCCAGATTTCGCACCGCGACCCCAACCGGTACCTCCTTGTTGGTCGTTGGAGTCGTCGTCTTTCTTTGCACCGCGTCCAGCACCACCGAAGCCACGTCCTCTGCCACGTCGGCTCCCTTGTATCCCATAGCCGCTGCTGCCGTCGTCTCCACCCCTCAGTTGGCAGCGACGGAAGTCCTCCTCCAGAATCTTCGTCCGCACCCACTCGAGCGTCCACAAGCTCTGGTTCTGCGGCAGGCTCAATCCGCTCGTAAATTGAAGCCACGATTCTGGCAGCAGCGAGAGCATCTTCAAGCACTTGGTCTGCTCCGGGTAGGTGATTCCCGCGGTCGCCAACTTCGCGTAGAGGTCGCGCATCTTGTCCAGGACTGGTTGCACCGGCTCTCCCTCGCTCAGGCGCAACGCGGACAGCTCCCTCTCCAGCATCAACGTTGCGACAACGGAGGTAGGGGCGTGCAGCTCCTTCAACACGGTCCACGCCTTCGGACCGCATTCAACCTCCGGCAGCAGGTGCATGACGTGGTGACGCTGGTTCAGCTCCAAACTCTGCGACATCAAATAGTAGCCAGCCGAGGAGCGCTCGTCCCAATCTTCCTGCAGCGTGGGGTCACTCGGTCTAGGCTCCTCCCCAATCATTAGTTTCAGCAAGCCGATCTGACGGAAATATAATTGCATTTTCCAGGCCCAATCATCATAGCCCTCACCATTGAACTTCTCGACGGTGAAATTCTTCAGCACCTCCTTGACAAGCGAGCCCTGGTTTGTTCGCGCTCCCCTTGGCGCTGAAAGACCAGAATCTTGGCTGCCGCTACGATCTTGGGCTGAAGATTCACCAGCTCCCGCCGAGGTGTTGCCCGCCATAGCTACCTATAACGAGGATCACTATAACGCAGCTCTGATACCAGCTTGTTGGTGTAAGGGCCTAATAAACTCAAGCTATTAGGACTTAATCAAACTTAAAACCTCTCCTCGGGGTCACCTCCAAGGGTCCCTGGGTGCCTGGTACAAGACCAGCCCCTATCCTCGGGTCCGAGTTTGTAGAGAGAGGGATCAAGAAGGACTTAGTCAAAACAGCAAGAGTACCTTGAACGTCGCGCAGCGTGCCGTGCAGACCGTCGGTCGGATTAAGCTGAGAATTCGCTATATCGAAGCTCGCTCCAAGAGCTTTAAAATGAGCCAAGTTGCCTCGCGAAAAGTTCTGCCATCACTAAGTTATGGCTCGGACAGCGTTTGCCTAGCGTTGGAGTGCTAGCATACTAGCGTTGACTCGGGTAGCATTCCGCCGTCGAATAGCGCAGAAACGAAATTCCAGCGAGGAAGGAATTCGCATGAATCAATTTGACTATATTCAGGTACAAACAGAGAAGGATTAAATAGTTCTAGCTAGCAAGGACCTTGGGAATCAACCTGGGAACAACCAGGGATGATCCCAAATAATTCCAAGCAACAGAACCAACCTGGCTGGACAAAATAGCAGGTGGTAGGTTGGTAAACAACCTCTGGTTCTGTTTTTCCAACCTGGGAAAACAACAACCAGGTTCAGGTTCTAAAAACAGAACCTGTTTTGTCTTTGCCCAACCAGCCAAATGCTGGTTCCGCTGGTTTCCCCTGGCCTTGTAGCATGCAGATACAGACAAACAACATCCAACCTTCACCTAAATTGTACCCCTATAGTGCCTTCCCTGCTACACTATAGTTAACCAAACAAAACAGTACAATTTCGAGTTGGATAGAACTGAATCTGCGCAATCAACTCAACCGAACTGCAAAGCTTCCATCTTGGGTTCCTTTGCGAGCTCGTCCTTCCTGCTTGCACTGTTCATAGCGCATACAATGTTGTGCCAAAGCGCACATTGCGCGAGTACCTGCAAATGCATCAAGCGAAAAATGCGAAAGCAAACAAACACACGAACACACCATTCACACGCAAATGCATTCGCACACGCATACTCGTACAAACAGACGGCAGGATGTCGTGCAATGTGCATTTGCACCCAACAGCGCCACCCCCAGGGTCCGCAGCACCAGGAGCACCACTCCGAAGACTGCAGCGCCGTGTGTACCACTCGCGGATCTGCTGAATGGGGGGGAGCTCCTGGGTAGGAGGGGAAGTACCGGGACGAGCTCCAGCAGCACCTCTCCGGAGGCGGCAGTACTCGAGGTACCTCTCCTGCAGCTGCTGGGAGGAGAGGGCTCCTCCAGGTGTCGCACGCTCAGGCTCAGCACCCCCAGACTCAGCACCCCCAGACTCAGCACTCCCAGGCTCCGCACCTCCAGGCTCAGCACCCCCAGGCTCCGCACCCTCAGACTCAGCACTCCGAGGCTCAGCACCCCCAGACGCAGCACCCTCAGGCTCAGCACCCCCATACAAAGCACCCCCAGGCTCAGCACCCCTAGCAGGACGAGAGTCGACAGCTACCTCGACAGGCTCACCCGGGTCTACCTGGGACACACCTGAGGGAGCGGCACCCTGAGGGGGGAGGGGGTCTGGTACCTCAGCACCTGGAGCGAGGAAGAGAGGCGGGGGGGGGAGCGGGGCAGTGCGGTAGGGGAAGAGGCGGTAGTAGGGGACGGACTCGTCAAAAGAGACGTCCTGAGAGGCCAGGACACGACGCGAGGTGGGGTGGTAGAACTGCCAGCCAGGGGCGTCCGGGACAAAGCCAAGGAAGACGCAGGGGACAGCGCGACGGGAGAGCTTGTCCGGGGACGTGTCGCGGACAAAAGCTCGGGATCCCCAGACCCGAAAACGCGACGCATCGCCAGCCTCTCCCGTCCAACGCAGTGTCGGAGAAGTCTCGGGCAAGGAGACACGGGGCCAGAGGTTGAGCTGATGCGCAGCGTATCGGACTGCAAACGGCCACAGAAAATGGGGGGCAGCCGCATGGCTCAAGGAGGTACGAGCGACCTCCATGACCAGACCAATGCGGCGCTCAGCAACCCCATTCTGCTGTGGAGAGGCCGGAAGCGTGAACGACTGCTCAATGCCCTCCTGCTGACAGAAGGCCTCCAATAGGCCAGAGGAAAACTCCCCACCTCTGTCAGAGTGCAGACGCAAGACAGGGAAGTCGGAGCGGAAACGCTCACTGAGCTGGAGACGAGATCTGCGGATCCAAGGGATCAAGACATCAGGGACGTCACCCTTGGCGCGCAAGGGGAAGACCGTGGTGTAGCGCGAGAAGTCGTCAACAACAATCAGGAAGTACCTCTCCTGACCCTGACCACGGACGCGGGCTGGGCCCCACACGTCCATGTGGAGCGTCTGCAAGGGAGCAGTCGTCGGGGGGAAGGAGGAGGAGTGAGGTGCGGCGCGCTGCCGCCCCTCGACACAGGGAATACAGGGGGGAGCAGGTGAGTCGGGAAGGGGAGGGAGCACCCTGGGAAGACCAGCAACAAGGTCCCGTTTGTGCATAGCCCGAAGGCGCTGCACAGACGGGTGACCAAGGCGGTGGTGCCAAAGGACAGTCTCATGCGCCAGAGAGCGACACGAGCAGGGGGCGGATAGCTGACCTGACGCAGACGCAGACGTAGACGCAGACGCAGCTACCTGAGGGGACTCAGTGGTCAGTGTGTACAGGTCCGACCCCGGCTCTCGAGTGAAAGTAGCCAGGTGGCGACCCGTCCGAGCACACGTGCAGTGTGTCACGCGCTCGTAGGCAGGGGTGAACTGGTGAACACCCCCATCCTGGAGCGCACTACCTGCCACCAAGTTCGTAGAGAACGAGGGGAGGTAGAGACCTGACAGCGTGCCGGACGGGACCGCCGGACAAGGAAGGACAGTGGAGGAGGTCGCAATGACCGGACCCCCAGAGGGGTCAGCAAGGGAGACCGCAACTGGCCGAGCGAGTGGCTCAAGGACAGTGCGGTCACGAAAGAAAGAGCGAGAAGCACCTGAGTCCAGTGTGAAGGTGTTGTCATAATGTTATTTGTCTAGCCTGCAGTGGGGTGCTCAATAGTGAGTACAACCCCTTAGGGTTTGCTATTTGTGTGTTCTGCTGCTTGCTAGTCACCATTCATTCTTCGTTCCAATTCTCCTTCGTAAACCCTAACTCCTAGTTCTAGAGCACACCCACCTACCTCCTAGTGTGGGCCTAGGCTACTAAGCCTAGGCCCCACACCTACGATTCTAACATGGTATCTAGAGCCGGCGAGATCCTGCCGCCTAGTTCATCGGGCCCACCAACTCCTTCCGCTGTCGTACTATCCGCCGCGCGCCCCGTGGTGCGCGGCATTGCATTTTCTTCCCGCCACGCGCTCCGAACACGTGGCGGCTTCTTCTGCCCGCCGCGCGCTCGGGGCGCGCGGCGGTTATCCCGTCCGTCGAAGCGTCCTTGGGGGGGCCTGCGCGCTGCCCTCCCTGCTGCTCGTCGCGACGCCCGTGCGGGACCCGCGGGGCGTCGCCCTTACTCGTCGCGGCGCCCCCTGGGTGCTGCCCCTTCTCGTCGCGACGCCCGTACGGGACCCGCGCAGCGTCGCCCTGCTCGTCGCGACGTCCGTGCGGGACCCGCGGGGCGTCGCCCCTGCTCGTCGCGACGCCCGTGCGGGACCCGCGGGGCGTCGCCCCTGCTCGTCGCGACGCCCCCTGCGGGACCCGCGGGGCGCCGTCAGAGCCTGCAGCAGCAGCCGCCGCTCTACCAGCAGCAGCAGCCGCCGCCGCTCTGCAGCAGCAGCCGCCGCCGCCCTGCAGCAGCAGCCGCCGCCAGGCCTGCAGCAGCAGCCGCCGCCAGAGCCTGCAGCAGCAGCCGCCGCCAGAGCCTGCAGCAGCAGCTGCCACCAGAGCCTGCAGCAGCAGCCGCCGCTCTACCAGCAGCAGCAGCCGCCGCCGCTCTGCAGCAGCAGCCGCCGCCGCCCTGCAGCAGCAGCCGCCGCCAGGCCTGCAGCAGCAGCTGCCGCCACCGAGCCTGCAGCAGCAGCCGCCGCCAGAGCCTGCAGCAGCAGCCGCCGCCAGAGCCTACAGCAGCAGCCGCCGCTCTACCTGCAGCAGTTGCCGCTGCCGAGCCTGCAGCAGCAGCCCCTGGAGCAGCCAGTCACTGCAGCAACCGCCCCTGGAGCAGCCCGCCACTGCAGCAGCCGCCCCTGGAGTTTGCCCGCCTTTGTTCGAGAGTGTGGGGGTGACGGGTATGGGGGTGCTTCGTGTGCGTCGTCCCTTCCTCCTCCTTCGTCTCCCACTGCTGCAGCTGCCGCTGAGGGGGGTGGATGTGTGGGAGCCGAGGGGACTGGCGCTAGGGGGGGTGATATGGGAGTGGAGCTAAGGGTGGACCAAGGGGTGTGTGTCGAGGGGTGTGGGACTGTTGGGGGAGGTTGAGCGGAGACCGCCGTCGTGTCGTCTACAGCGCCTGTACTCCGGGGCGCTCAATCCCGGTAGCTCAGAGAGCCGGTTGCACCTGTCGCCCGTGGGTCCGTTGCTCCTGCCGCTGCTGTTCAGCCGCCGAGCCTGTTACTCCTGTATTCCGGGGCCTTTCTCCTCCCGGTAGCCACCAGCGTTGCACCAGAGCCGTCTGTTGCCCGTGTGTCTGCAGCTTCAGTCGTCGCCTCCACTCTTCTCTCATCTCGCCAGCCCTCCTCCTCCTCACTTGCCCTCTGTGACTGCCTCTAGCTCTGCTTACAATTTATAAACTATTGGTTCTTGAACTTGTGCTCAGAATGTGTGGTGACGTCGTGATCCACCCTGAGCTTGTACTGCTTTGTGTGCTCTGCTGATTACACCCCACTTTGGCTATGGGGGTGTGTCAGAATGTTATTTGTCTAGCCTGCAGTGGGGTGCTCAATAGTGAGTACAACCCCTTAGGGTTTGCTATTTGTGTGTTCTGCTGCTTGCTAGTCACCATTCATTCTTCGTTCCAATTCTCCTTCGTAAACCCTAACTCCTAGTTCTAGAGCACACCCACCTACCTCCTAGTGTGGGCCTAGGCTACTAAGCCTAGGCCCCACACCTACGATTCTAACAGGTGTGCAGTGCTGCAGTCGACTCAGTACCAGGGGGCACAGACGCACTAGCACCTAGGGCAGCAGCCTCACCAGGACCTATGGGAGCGGACGCACTAGCACCTAGAGCGGCAGCCGGACTGGCCTGAATGCCCGGGTCGGGCGGAACACGCAAGTACTGAGCACCCTCTCCACTAATAGACATCGCATACATGGCAGTGAGAATAGCATCAAAGTCTAGAGCCCAAATATCAACACCCCTCTTTTCCAGCTCAGCCCAGCGCGGCAGGTCAGTGGCACTAGGAAACTGGGTGCGCCACGCGTCGTTAAGGCGCGCGAAGCAGCGCTGCGTGGGGTGCGGCCTCCCACACTGCTGGCCGCTGCGGTCACCTGTGCGAATAACGTACGTGCAGGTAACTCCACGCTGCGCATACCACTCACGGGCGGCCTGAAGCGTCGGGGCGGGCTGCTGACTCTGCCCTCCACCAGTGCCTCCACGACCACCACCCCCACCGCCTCCGCCCCGGCCACCTCCACCCCTGCCGCCACCACGACCACCTCCGCCCCCGCTGCCGCCTCCGCCCCTGCCACCACTCCCGCCGCTGCTGTCTCCTCCCCCACTGCCGCCACCGGCCTCCTCAGCCGCGCCTCCACTCCCACCGCCTCCACCCCCACCTCCTCCGCCGCCACCCCCACCCCTGCCCCCCTTGTTCCTGCGGCGCCCGCTCGAAGCAGACGCGGTCCCGACCTTCTCAGCACCGAGGAGGTCGACAGCAGCAGCAGAGGCGACAGAGGGGAGGAGGGGGGAAGGGGAACACCCCTCAAAGAACGGGGTGCGGGGGTCGCCACGAGAGGTGCCTACAGCTACAATACTCGCCTCAGCTGCAAGCAGTTCCTTCTCGAGGAGGGCAACAGTGAGCTCAGTGGGGGAGCGAGAGAGGAAGTGGTCCCTGACTGTGCGCAGAGAGTCAGGGAGGCGGGTGACGATGTGGTAGAGAGTGATCCAGAGCGGGGGGGGGGTTGCTAGTGAGAAACTCGGCAGGCATAGCAGCGCGAAAGCGGGCCTCACTAGTCTTAAGGTGGGTGATGAGGTCTGCGACAGTGTGAAAGGAGGCTAGGTCGGGGAACAGGTAGGGGAGAGTGAGGCGGCCTAGCGTGGCAGAAGCAGGTGAGGAGTAGCGGGCAACTACAGCTGTGTAGAGGTCCTTAGCAGTCTTGCACTGGCCGAAGTGCTCGCGCTCGTCTAGCGGCAGGGAGTTGCGAATAGCAAAGCGAGCGTGCGCATCACGGGTCTGCCACTGGGAACGCAGAGTGCTGTCAGCAGACGAGTCAGGGGCAGTGGCATGGCCTAGGGCGTGGTCGTACAGTGAGATATCTTCCTTGGCAGTGAGCTGTAAGAACAGGTGCAGGTCATCTAGCCAGGTTTCGAACTTCACCGGACGGCCCTCGGCATCGAAAGCTAGAACGGGAGGACTAGCCATAGCGACAGTAGCAGTAGCAGTAGTAGCAGTAGGAATCAGGCCGCTGGAACGGTGTGCGGAGGGTCAACGGGGCCGGCGGGGCCGCTAGGTAAGGCGCGGGCGGGGTCGACTGTCCGTAGTGGCACACGAGCGGCAGTAGTAGGTAGCTGGGCAGCAGGAGCTGCAACGGTGCACTGGTGGCAGCTGCAGTGGCAGCAGTGTGCACGGTAGGTAGAAAATAACAGCAGTGAGAGCGAGTGCCTCGCGGGCGGCGGCTGCAGAAGCGCACGGGCGGCAGCGGCGGTGCACGGGCAGCGGTGGCGCACGGGCAGCAGCAGCGTAGGGGCAGCGACGGCGCACGGGCAGCGGTGGCGCTCGGGAGGCAGCGGTGCGCAAGCAGCAGCGGAAGAAGCGGCGTACAAGCGGCTGCGGGCAGCGGGGCGTGCGCGAGTAGGCGACGGGCGGCTGCGGGGCGTGTGCGAGCAGGCGACGGGCGGCTGCGGGCGGGCGGCCACTGAGACGGCGGGCTGCGGGCCTGCGGGGCGTGCGTGCGCAGGCGACGGGCGGCTGCGGGGCGTGTGCGAGCAGGCGACGGGCGGCTGCGGGGCGTGCGCGAGCAGGCGACGGGCGGCTGCAGGGCGTGCGCGGGCAGGCGACGGGCGACTACGGGGCGTGCGCGAGCGGCTGCAGGCAACGGGCGTGCGACACGCGAGTGGCTCTGGCGGTGCGCGGGCCGGCAGCGGGCAGCACGCAGGCCGCGCGGGTGAAATGCGGGCTGCGCGGGTCGGTAGGGGCGATCGCGGGGCCGACGAGGCCGCTAACGGGCGGGCAGCGGGGTCGTTAGAGGCGCTAAGGGGCGGCGCGATGGGGCCGTGAGGGGCCTCTAGGTAAAAAACGACGGGGCCGCGGGGCCTCTAGACGGGGCTCGATCGACGGGGCCAGCGGGGCCGAAAAAAAAAAAAAAAAAAAATGAAGCGCTCGAGGGCGCTACGGGGGAGGCGCTAAGAACGCGCTCCGGTAGTAGGTAGGTAGTAGGTAGGTAGGTAGGTAGGTGGGCCCGAAGGACGGTCCTAGCGAAGGACCTGCTCTGAAACCATGTCAGAATCACTGACTGGAATGACTGAACTAACAGGGAAGGCAGTACAAATACAAACCCTAGAATAGTGTACCCCATATAGTCTAGCCCACTGTAGCCTAACAACAACCAACATATATAATGTTTGACAGGGAGACTCTTATTGTGGCAGATATTGTGAGGACCCCACTCTTGCCCCTAAACATCATAAGACCCCCCTTCACTGTATCCAGTAGCTATTATTGCTTTTGTGAGTCAGCTTTTACTGGCACAAATTCGATTTCTAACACACTTTTTGTGCCAGACTCGAATTCTGACACTTCATTTGTGTCATACTCGAAATCTGACACAGGTCTGACGTGACCCATACGCGAAATTTGCGCGAATTTGTTACAAATATAAGACCCCCCCGCCCAAACTGAGCCGTACACCCTAAAAATTGCTGCCGCCATAATGTCCACCCAAGCATATTTTTAAGCATTTGTAGAGAGTCCCCCGGGTCTTATAGCCATAACTATACGGTAGGAAAATGATAATTCAGGTTACAACGGAGAGCGTACTCTCACACACAGCCCCCTCAAAGCTATGTGGAATGAGAAACACCCTACTTGACAAGATAATCCTTGAGGGCACGGCATGTGTTGCCCATATCACCTTCTACAACCCAACTATCCTAAGAAGGATCATTTCCCTTTCAACGGTTAAAAAACTCAAACGTATTGCGTGAGGACACATTCCACCTCTTACTCTTGTTCATCCTTTACAGTAGCTGATGTCTATGGTACCATGATTGGGGTCCTTGTAGGGTTTTGGTGTTTGACCATGGAAGGCGTTATGAATATTCCATGTGGACAATAAGCGCATGTGGAAGGTAACGGGTGTCACCATTGCCTCGACGCAAAAACTACAGAAGCGAGGTCGAAGCTTGGACGGGAGGTGGGATAAGTCCAGGTTACGGGTATCCAAAAAGACCTGTTTGTTGAAACAGACTAGCACGAATGAATGAACTAACAGAAAGTTGGGTACAAATGCTAGCCCTAGGTTGGGTTGTACCCCTTACGGGCTACCCCACAACAGCCTACACAACAATAACATTTGACACACCCCCATAGGCAAAGTGGGGGAGAACAAGAGGTCACAAGACCAGTCAAGAAAAGCAAAGCAAGCTCAGGGTGGATCACGATGTCACCACACATTCTGAGCACAAGCAAAAGGCCACATGGCCAGTTCACATGCAGACTCATATAGAACAAGGCAGACAATACAGTAATCACTACCTAGCAAGGGCAAGCATGCAGAATATATATAGATTACAGTACAAGCAAGATCAAACAGTGAGTGAGTGAGAAACGTAGGCACGAGGCCTAAAGTAGTACAGTGACGCTGATGATCACCAGACGGAAGTGCCTTGGTGAATATATCAGCTGTGTTGGCCCGTGTGTCCACGTAAGCAAGACGGAGCTGGCCACGCTGCTGCAACTCTCGAGCAAGAAAGTAGCGCAGAGCAATGTGCTTCGTTCTTTGCTCCAGTCTGTGCTCCTGACACAAGGCGAGGGCTGCCTTGTTGTCGCCGTACAGAACTGGAGGAGAACTAGGCTGCTCTCCCAAGTCAGTCAGCAAGTAGGTGAGCCAGCGTAACTCCTGTGCAGCTATGGCTCCGGTGTAGATCTCATCCTCACAACTGGAGCTGAGAACAGAAGACGAGCGGGTAGACCGCCACGAAACAGAGCCGGAACCAAGGCTGAAGGTGTAACCCTGCGACGACCGCTGCGTAGCCAGGTCGTCAACCCAAGAGGCGTCTGAGTGTCCAGTGAGGACAACGTCACCCCGTCCTCCAAGCACCAGCCCCATGCCTGATGTACTGCACAAGTAGCGCAGCACCCTCTTAGCAGCCTTCCAGTGCTCTCGCCTGTGTCTCCCAAGCGCAACGTAGCGAACTAGGATGCTAAAAGGGTACGCAAGGTCAGGACGAGTGCAGGTCATCAGGTACATGAGGCAGCCCACAAGCTCTGGATACATGCAACTCGGCTCTATGGACTCGTCCGTAGGTGGAGCTGAGAGCAAGTGACCTGTAGGCAAAGGAGTGGACTATGGTAAGGAGAACTGGAAGCCGAAGCGCTGAAGGACCTGCTGCACCATGTGTGACTGAGTCAGGGTGATGGTGTGCCGTGCTCTGTCCCGGGTGATCTGCAAGCCAAGGTAGCTGCGCAGCTCACCCAGGTCTGTGCACGTGTGTCTCTTCTGCAGCTCCGACTTCACAAGGGCGAGTGCCTCAGTGTCAGCAGTGGCAAAGACCAAGTCGTCGATGTACAGAAGGATGTAGAATGGCGGCAGAATAAGTGTCTGTGCGAAGAAATAGCGACGGATCAGCGGTGGAAGGAGAAAACCCAAGAGCCGCAAGTGTCGTCCTCAGTGTGTCGTGCCACTTACGAGGCGCCTGGCGGAGACCGTAGACTGGCCGCCGGAAGCTCCACTGGGTACCAAGAGGGAACGACCCAGTGAAGCCAGGTGGGCGGCGCAGCCAGATCTTCTCGTGCAGGCTGCCCTGTAAGAAGGCTGTGCTGAAGTCAAGAGAGTGAAGCTTGTAGTCACGCTGAGCGGCAACGTGCAGCAGCACCCAAAGAGTGGTCATCTTTGGGGTAGGGGAGAAGGTCTAGAAGAAGTCAACTCCCTGTCGCTGACTGAAGCCTCGTGCAACGTAACGAGCCTTGAAGACAGACGGAGAACCCGGCGGCCGCTTCACCCTGAAAATCCACATGCCATCGACTATGTTTGCCCCAGGAGGGGGAACCTCGTCGACGTAGGTGCCTGTGGACTTCCAGGATGCCATCTCTGCGTCCATGGCTGTCTGCCACTAAGAGGAGTAGGGACCCGTAATCGCCTCTGCGTAAGAGCGCGGGGTCGGGATGTCCAGTGCATCCGGGTCTCCCTCAGGTGCAAGCAGCCAGGCCACGAGATGAGGTACAGCAGCTGCAAAAGACTCAAAGTCCTCCTGCTTGTCCTCAAGGACGTCTGTGCCAAGAGCACACTCACCCCCGACGGACGGAGAACAGACAGACTCAGACTCAGCAACAAGACTGGCGGCGTAGTCTAGACGACACGCAACAGCAAAGTCGACAAGCTTAGCAACTTAGGGAGACGGAGCTATAGACTCAAACGACGGGTTTGTGACAGCAGTAGCCAGGAGACGCGTGACAGTAGGGCTGGCAGCACGAACGCGGTCAAACTCAGGGTGGGGAATCTCAGGAAGAGAGGATGCAGGAGGAGACGGCAGAGGGACACGCTGTGGAGCAGTGGAAGGACGAAGTGCCATAGTGTGAGTACCTAGCACAGGAGGAGGACGCGGACGCGGGACACGACGAGCAGTGCGAACAGTGCGGACAGGGGAGACAGGACGAGACGCAGGCTCACGACGCTCTGTAAGGGAGACTGGCTGCTCAGTGTAACGAGACAGGGAAGGCAGCGGGGAGTCCGGAAGAAGGGCAGTGGACGAAGAAAGACTAAGAACCTGACGAAGTACCGACTCAGGCGGAAGCTCGGACAGCTGCGGCGGCGGCAAGAAAAACGGTCGCTGATGCACCCTGCCTCCGGTACCGGTACCTCCAGCTCCAGTGTCTCCAGCTCCAGCGCCTCCAGCTTGAGCGCCTCCAGCGGCAGCACCTCCAGCTCCAGCATCTCTAGCCCCAGCGGATCCAGCTCCATGGCCTCTAGCTCCAGCTCCTCCAAGGGCTCTAGCTCCAGCACCTCCAACTCCGGTGTCTCCACGTCCAGCGACTCCAGCACAAGTGTCTGCAGCTCCAGTGCCACCAGCTCCAGCGGCTCCAGGGCCAGCGCCTCCAGCAGCACCTGATTCACCAGTGACCTCGAAAGGCTCAGCCAAGGGGAGTGGGTCTACCTGAGAGAAACCTGAAGGAGCAGGAACCTGAGGGAGCAGGAACCTGAGGGGGGAGGGGGTCTACCGGAGGGGGACCTGGAGCGAGGAAGAGCGGCGGGGGGGGGGCGAAGAGGGACAGTGCGGTAGGGGAAGAGACGGTAAACTGGAACCGACTCCTCAAACGTGGCGTCCTGAGAAGGGAAGACACGGCGCGAGGTGGGGTGGTAAAACTGCCAGCCAGGGCGCGACAGGGGGAAAGCCAAGGAAGGCGCAGGGAATGGCACGAGAGGAGAGCTTGTCCGCGTTGGTATCGCGGACAAAGGCATGAGAGCCCCAGACCCGGAACCGCGACGCATCGCCAACCTCCCCCGTCCAACGCAATGTGGGCGAGGTCTCCGACAAGGAGACACGGGGCCAGAGGTTGAGCTGATGCGCAACGTGCCGGACCGCAAACGGCCAGAGAAAATGGGGAGTAGCCGCATGGATCATGGAGGTACAAGCGACCTCCATGACTAAGCCGATGCGGCGCTCAGCAACCCCATTCTGCAGCAGGGAGGCCGGAAGCGTGAACGACTAGAGGATGCCCTCCCCCTGACAAAAGTCCCGCAAGAGGTCAGAGGAGAACTCACCACCTCTGTCAGAGTGTAGACGCAGGACAGGAAGGTCTGTTCGGAACTGCTCGCGGAGCTGGAGACGAACAGCGCGGATCCAAGGGATCAAAACAGCAGGGACCTCACCCTTGTTGCGCAAGGGGAAGACCGTGGTGTAACGCGAGTAGTCGTCGACAACCAGCAGAAAGTACCGCTCGCGGCCCTGTCCCTTGACGCGGGCTGGGCCCTACACGTCCATGTGGAGAGTCTGCAGGGGAGCAGTCGTCGGGGGAAACGAGGAGGAGTGAGGAGCGGCGCGCTGCTGCCCCTCGACGCAAGGAGTGCAGGACGGGGCAGGCGAGGGCGGGAGGGAAGGCAGAGACCTGGGAAGACCGGTGACCAGGAGGCGGGAGTGCATGCCATGAAGGCGTGGCAGGGAGGGGTGACCAAGGCGGTGGTACCAAAGTAGAGTCTGGTCCGACAGGTGACGGCACTCGTAGGGGGAAGCTACCTGACCTGATGCGGCCACCTGACCAGACGCAGCAACCTGGGGAAGGAGGGTCAGTAGTCTGTGTGTACAGACTCGACCCAGGCCGACGGGTAAACGTGGCCAGGTGGCGGCCCGTCCAAGAGCACGTGCAGATCGCCACACGCTGGTTGCCAGGGGTGAAGGTATCAACCCACTCATCCTGAAGAGCCGCGGTACTCACCAGGTTTGTCGAGAACGAGGGGAGGTGGAGACCTGTCAGTGAGCCGGACGGAACCGCCGGACATGGAAGCACAGTGGAGGAACGTGCAAGAACTGGGCCCCCAGAGGGGTCAGCCAGGGAGACTGCAAATGGTCTAGGGAGCTGTGTGGCTGTGGTACTGTCGCGAAAGAAACAGCGGGAAGCAGAGAGCAGACTCACTAGCACCTAGAGCAGCAGCCTCTATACCTGGGTCAGGCGGTACACACAGGTAACAGTCACCCTCAGCACTAACAGTCAAAGCATACATGCCAGCAATGATAGCATCAAAGTCAAGAGCAAAGATATCAACACCAGCTCTTAGCAGGTCTGCCCAGCGGGGCATCTCACTCTCCTCGCCCATCTCAGTGCGCCAAGCGTCGTCTAGGCGGGAGAAGCAGCGGTGCTGGGTGTGAGCCTTCCCACACACCTGACCAGTGCGGGCACCTGTGCGAATGACGTACGGGTAGCAAGCAATACCTCCACGCTGAGCAAGCCACTCACGAAGCTGCTGGGGCGTGAGGGGCGCATGCGAGCGCTGTTGCTGCTGTCGCTGAACTGCTCCAGCCCGACCACCACCACTGCCTCTGCCGCCGCCACCGCCACTACCCCCTTTGCCGCCACCACCGCTGCCACCACTCCCACTGCCGCCACCACTCCCACCGCCGCTGCCGCCACTGCCGCCACCGCCCCCACCCATACCACCACTCCCACCGCCACCACCACCTCCGCCACCTCCACTGCCTCCACCACCTCAACCACCACCTTCCCCACCGCCACCCCCACCACCCTTGCCTCCCTTGCCCTTGCCGCAGCGGTGCTTCCCACTAGGAGCAGAAGCAGCACCGACCTCCTCAGCACCAAGGAAGTCGACAGCAACAGTAGAAGCAACAGAGGGGGCAAGTGGGGAGGGGGAGCACCCTTCAAAGAAGGGCGTGCGAGGAGCGCCGCAAGTAGCACCTGTTGGTGTAAGGGCCTAATAAACTCAAGCTATTAGGACTTAATCAAACTTAAAACCTCTCCTCGGGGTCACCTCCAAGGGTCCCTGGGTGCCTGGTACAAGACCAGCCCCTATCCTCGGGTCCGAGTTTGTAGAGAGAGGGATCAAGAAGGACTTAGTCAAAACAGCAAGAGTACCTTGAACGTCGCGCAGCGTGCCGTGCAGACCGTCGGTCGGATTAAGCTGAGAATTCGCTATATCGAAGCTCGCTCCAAGAGCTTTAAAATGAGCCAAGTTGCCTCGCGAAAAGTTCTGCCATTACTAAGTTATGGCTCGGACAGCGTTTGCCTAGCGTTGGAGTGCTAGCATACTAGCGTTGACTCGGGTAGCATTCCGCCGTCGAATAGCGCAGAAACGAAATTCCAGCGAGGAAGGAATTCGCTTGAATCAATTTGACTATATTCAGGTACAAACAGAGAAGGATTAAATAGTTCTAGCTAGCAAGGACCTTGGGAATCAACCTGGGAACAACCAGGGATGATCCCAAATAATTCCAAGCAACAGAACCAACTTGGCTGGACAAAATAGCAGGTGGTAGGTTGGTAAACAACCTCTGGTTCTGTTTTTCCAACCTGGGAAAACAACAACCAGGTTCAGGTTCTAAAAACAGAACCTGTTTTGTCTTTGCCCAACCAGCCAAATGCTGGTTCCGCTGGTTTCCCCTGGCCTTGTAGCATGCAGATACAGACAAACAACATCCAACCTTCACCTAAATTGTACCCCTATAGTGCCTTCCCTGCTACACTATAGTTAACCAAACAAAACAGTACAATTTCGAGTTGGATAAAACTGAATCTGCGCAATCAACTCAACCGAACTGCAAAGCTTCCATCTTGGGTTCCTTTGCGAGCTCGTCCTTTCTGCTTGCACTGTTCATAGCGCGTACAATGTTGTGCCGAAGCGCACATTGCGCGAGTACCTGCAAATGCATCAAGCGAAAAATGCGAAAGCAAACAAACACACGAACACACCATTCACACGCAAATGCATTCGCACACGCATACTCGTACAAACAGACGGCAGGATATCGTGCAATGTGCATTTGCATCCAACACACTCCCCCTCAGCCTGCCGGCTGCATCCCCGTCATTCCATGCTAGTTCATGCTCATTCCACTCATGCGCACACAACGCCAATGAGACTCATCCGCAAGCCTCTTGGTGAGAAAGTCTGCTGGCTGCTGGTGAGTCTTGATGTAGATCGGATGCACCGTCCCCCTCTTCACCTCCTTACGCAGCCAGTGCCACTTGATACGCATGTGCTTGTTCAGCCCATGAAGCACAGCGTTTCTGGCCATCCCAAGAGCCCCCTTGCTATCACAAAACAGCGGCGTAGCAACTTTCTGCTCCTGGCCAATCTCCTCTAACAGCCTCCTCAGCCAAATCACCTCCTTCACCCCATGGAACATCACCATGTACTCTGATTCTACGGAAGAGAGTGCCGTCTCCGTCTGCTTCTTGGACCTCCAACTAACAGGTCCTCCCCCGACTACGCAGATGTATCCTCCCACAGATGAGGAATCCTCCTTCTCAGAAGCCCACGTAGCATCGGTAAAGCAAGTGAGAAATAGCTTGCCTTCTCCAAGCCTCTCCCCCTTCTCTTTCAGCACCTCCACCCCTTTCTGCTTCACCTGTGCAGATGCGGAATATTGAACTCCAATGCTTGGGTGAGAGTTCAGGTACTTCACCACACGCTCAGCTGCATCCACCTGCTCCTCTGATGGATTCTGCACCACCCTAGCCAGCTGCCCAACCGAGAAAGAGATGTCGGGCCTCGTGTGAACTGCTGCGTACAAGAGGCTGCCCACCAAGGACTGAAATTGCTGCTGCTCTTCAGCTTCAACCCCTTCATCCTCTGCAGCCTTCACAAGCTTGAATTCTGCTGGCAGGGGAGTTGCAACCTTGCGCTCATTCTCAATCCCATACTTCTCCCCCAGCTCCTTGATGAACTTCTCCTGGTGCAGCTTCAACCACCTGTGATCTGGATCCCTCTCCACGTGCATCCCGAGGTAGTACTTTACCTCCCCAAGGTTCTTGCACTTGAAGTTTTCCATCAGTTGCTGCTGCACTTTCTGGATCTCCTTCATGCTGCTGCTGAAGAGAAGAATGTCGTCCACATAGACCAGAAACAGCACCAGCTTCTCCCCCTCGCCCTTGAGAAAGAGGCTCTCATCACAGCTGCTGGTCCTGAATCCCATCTCCTCTAAAACAGCTGCCAACTTCTGGTACCAGCAGCGTGGCGCCTGCTTCAAGCCGTAGATGGACTTGTTGAGCTTGCACACCCTGCCCGTACCATCCTCATACCCAGGCGGCTGCGTCATGTACACATCCTCCTCTAAAATCCCATTCAGGAATGCCGTTGAAATATCCATCTGAATGATGAATTTCCCACTAACAGCTGCATCTGCCAACAAGACACGGAGGGTAGGGGGTTTGGCAGTGGGAGCAAAGATCTCGTTGAAGTCCTGCTTCTCCTTCTGCATAAACCCCTTCGCCACCAGCCTACTCTTGTAGATGGTGACCTGCCCCTTGTCATCGGTCTTGATCCTCAGCACCCACTTGCATTGTATCGCTTTCTTCCCATCAAGCAGCACCACCAGATCCCATGTCCTATTCTCCAGCAGACTCTGGTACTCAGCATCCCTAGAAGCCAGCCACTTGTCCCTATCTGGTCCAGCTAATGCCTCCTCCATGCTAGCTGGTTCCTCTGGTGCAGGGGCAAGAAAACAGTACGCAGGCTCATCCTCCTCATCCGGGTCATAGCCATGAGGTAGAATCAGCAATGCCTCTTCGGTCCCTAGCTGCTGCTCTGCTGCATCAGTTCCTGCAGTCAGCTTCTTAGTAGCCATACGGGTACGTCCTGGCCTGGAGACGGGTGTCTCCCATCCCTTCATAACGACACCCTTCGGCTTCTTAGTTTTTCCCTGCTGCTTCTCTCCTCCCTCGGGTCCAGCAGCTCCACTAGTGCTGCCGCCAGTTTCCACACCATTTTCTCCACCAGCAGATGCCTCCTGTACCTTCTCTCCATCACCATTTCCAGCAGCTGCCTCCTCTCCCTCCTCCCATACACTAGGAGTCAGGTCCAGCTGCATGGTGATCTGCTCCATCTGCTGGGACACCCTTGCCTCCGGCTGTTTCTCCCAGCTCCCATACATCATGCCCTCAATGAATTTCACATCCCTGCTGTCAAACAACA